AAATTTTAATTATGTTAATCATAAAATTAATATATATGTTGTTTATCTTATTTTATTAATATTTAATTTTACAATATTTATAAAATATAAATATTAAATGGCACTTTTAATGATATATTAATACATTTTGAGTTATGACATTGTTTTTGATATAAATCTTTATTTATATTTACAATATTATTAGTTGTTATTTTATAATAATTATTACTAACGTTAATAAAAGTTTCTAATATTTCCAACTTTTTCCTGTACATAGAAAATAGTTTTTTTTCACGTAATTTAAATATTATCTTATTTTCAATATAATATCACACATCGAATTTTAATCATTAAATTTACAGATTATATAATTATTTATAAAAACTATAATTAATGCATGTTTATGAGTTATTGCTTATATTATAGTAGTATTAATTATTTTTTAGATTAAAAAAATATATAATTATTATTTTAAAAATAAAATATCTAATTATTATATTTTTAACAAAACGAGCTAAAGAGAGAAAAATGTTGAAAAGAGAGAAAATTGGAGAAATTTTCTTTAAAAACTTCCCATTTTGGTAAAGTTTCGCAAATTCTTATTTTTATAAATATAATTTTTAAATTTCATCGATTTATTATTAAAAACTTTCCTATTCTCAGGGAATCTATTTCTTTGTGCTACCACTTATTGAAACATAAACAACAAATTTTATTTTAGTGTTTGAAAAAAATGTTATATTAAACTGACTATTGAGTGGTATTGTTAAATACTATTAATAAATTTATTGAAGTTTCCGGAAAAATAGGAGAGATTTTATTAGGGAACTTATTTATCTGGGAAAGTTGCCCGAACTATAATATGTAATTAACAATTATTATGTGTATTTTTGTACCCATTAATGCATCTATTAATATGTTTATATTATTTATTTCGTTTTGATTTAATTACTAATTCTAATATTAAATTTTATTTATTAACTAAATAGTTATTTATAAATAACATTATATTTATTGTTTTTCAGTTCAAAAAACACAAAGATTGATAATAGTAAATAATTTTAAAATTGACAAACTATTATATTGGATATTATTTTATATAACTTATACAATTGTATTGTTTGTATTTCACATTTTCTCCACACAAATGACATAAAAACTTGAAATGATGTTCAAGTGATTAACCGATTGAATGACTTAAGTCTATTGAAAACATATTTCTAAAGTTTCCAGACATGAGTTGAGATGAGATGTCTTAATATTACCAGACCTTAGAGCAAATGTATGATATGTTGTTAACATAAACTTAATATAATTTGGTTTCAAACTTAAGTCAAGAAATTTAACTTACGATATGTTTGTTGTGATATAATTATGTGAATGGAGTGTTATATACTGTAGTTTTTATTATGTGACACTAATTTATATTTTTAGTTTAACTGCAAATCAATTGTAAACTTTAAAGTAAAACAATCTTTTAGTAGGTTTTCTTATATATCAACTCTAAAACATCATAAAAACTCCAAACCATTTGTTTTGATTGCTTTCTATAATAAAAACATAGATATGAGACTTCTTTAGTAATTCAGTTATCAAACTAACAGCAAAAATATAATATGAAGTAAATAATTATTTTATAAAAATCAATTCTTATGTAACTTTATATAATGTATTTCCCTTTTTTTGAAAGTCATTGTTATTATAACATACATTGATAAGTTTTCCTTCATTTTGTTATCAATATTTTATTTAAAAGTATAATTTAGATCAAAAGCGCATTAAAACATAAATAAATAAATAAAATTATGATTAAATTGATTTTATAATGAAAAGCAATGTTAATTGAAAATTCTGTATTTTACTTATCACTGGAAAGTTATAGCATTTGTATAGTTTTTTATATTCACTATCTTTTTAACACATTTTTTATTATTGACTTCGATATTAGGTATTTAAATAACAGAATCATTAAATAACGAGTTATCAAATATTTATAATATTTTGATTGCTTACATAAACCAATCTTATTATAGCAATATTTTTTAGTTACAAACAGTAATTCCCGTAGTATTGGTATGTTTTGTAACAAATATCAAATGCATAACAACAAGAATTTAATATTTTTTTTATTGTTAGCAATTTTGTAGACATTAAATGACATGAATGTTGTGCTCACAACACTATAAGAGAAAATGATTTTTTGCTCTAATAGTAATCGTTTTTTATTAATACTGTATATATATATACAGACACATACATACATACATTCATATATTATATGAATAAAAAAGAGTCGAAAAATGAGTCTTTCAAAAGATAATACAATGAATTGTTGAGCCATTGATCGCTTGCCAGTTGACTATCATTTGCTTTTTTATAGTATAAAGATATAGCACTGAATTGGGTTGACTTCGAAAAAGGCAATTATTGCTATTATAGTAATACTGTTGTAAAACATTTGGGGTCAACACTGTCAACAACAACAACAACAACAACAACAACAACAAAACTTTCGATCAGTTGCTTAACACGTGACAAGATTTTTGGATAGGATTTTAAAATCATAATTTGGATCAAATATAGTAAACTTTTTTTTTATTGCTTACACTTTACATTCAACTAATTCTTGCCATAAAAACTGAAATAAATTTAATACATAAACTGCTGAATAATAAATAGAGAACTAATAAGTTAATATTATTAACATTATAAATATATCAATATTTACTTAAATAAATTTGTATTGTTTAATATTATTATAGCAGTGATTAAATTATAAGATAAGTAAAAGATATACACAATTATGTATAAATATAGTAAACTATATTTGAAAGTGTGTGGAGCACTCATTTTAAGAGCTAAACTGAGATAATCAAGTTTTTTATTACACATAAAATAAAATCTGTTTTTTATATAAATTTTACATTTATACAGTTAACACACACCACACTCTCAATCCATTAAATTATTTATATTATTTTTTTATATATATATACGTATATAATGCTATGTATATGTATGTTTAGTTTAAAATTAAGTTTTTATACTATACAATATAAAAATTTTACGATAATTATGTATATTTAATGGCATTAATTTTAAATTCAGAGTTTGGTAATATTATAAAGTGTTACAGTATTTTGATAAGATATAGTATTATAAATATTCATAAAAAGTATTACTAACATACGGTATAATATATATGATTATATAAGAAACTGCATTATAAACTATACATTGTTTTAAATTATATCTAAAATATACATTTGCATTACACTGAAGATGACATAATTTGCAATTATTTTTAATTTTAATAAAATTTGTTAAAAGTTTATATACTTTGTTATAAAAATATAATTACTTTGTTATGAATTTATCACAGAAAACATTTAAATAAATAATTAATAAATTTAATATTTATAAACTTTTCATAAAGTATTTTTATTACAAACTAACAATTATTTTTTTAAAAACTTATTTTATTATAACTACTTATAAGTATAACTATTTTTAAAAATTTAATTTAAATATATTATTATTAAGATAAAATTGTGGCATCAACTTAGTAAATAATAAATAATTCAGCAATAAATATCAAAATTATTGATTTTTCAATTTCATTTTTTAAATAAACACTTTTTTTGCACATTTATAGTTTGTATTTTAACTCAATACATTTGATAAAAAATATATTTTATAATACCACTTAAATATATATACAAATAAAATATAATTTCATTTTGTTTTATATGTTTTATACGCAATTTAATAAATAAATGTAATTTAATGATATATTTAATTATTTTTTTCTGTACGGCAAACATGCATTTCTGTAAAGCCATCTATACATTGATTGATAAATCATTTTATCGATTAACAGTAAAACTATAAGTATTGTTTTGAACATTAATTGTTAATTATACTTATAATATATATATACTGTATTAATTAACAGTTAATTAATCATTTGTTTTGAATCTTTGACATTAAAATATGAATTGATATCTATAATATTTTTTTCACAAATATATCTATTTATAGCTTAATTTAAATTTATATATTTTACTTTATTTTATTTAATATTTATATAAAAAATAAAATTTACTGTATAATACTAAAATTTATTTATTTATTTATTTTTAAATATCAACAACTATTTATATAAATTAAACAATAATAAAAAAGAGCTATCAAATATCTAGCAAAAAATATATATCAATTTTGCTACTAAGTTATAATTATAAATATGATTTAATACTAAATTTATATATTGTATTTATACTTATTTTTATAAATTTTAATATATCATACATAAAGAATTTGATAAATTAATTAATATTTAGAAATTACATATTATTTTAATATCAAATTATTTAAATATTTATTATTTTCAGTTTCATAAAAATTATAATAAAAATCTATTCATATATTAGATGTGTCGTCAATAGAGGGCCGGCACTGGTATCAGTGGATGAGATAGGGTTTACATAATTGATTGAAGTTAACTATAAGGTCTTATTGGTAACGACTGCACAGAGATGTTGTATATTATATACTGTACTTCAGTGTTAAGAGAGAATCTATTGATATCAGTAGTGGTGAACACATAGGAATGTTATGGCAAAAGCACAGCACAGGGAGGCTGACAATCAATGTTTGGATTGTGTTTTGCAAAACAATAATCATATAAAAATTTTTGACTCTTTTAATAATAAAACTAAATTTATAGCAATAAAAACAACAAAACTTATGAAATGCTGTGAAACTCCATGTGTTTAGTTTGCATAGCATTGCACTGAAATTTAAGCATTGCATCCAATTTGTTATTTGTTGGCTATATATATATATATATATTTATATATATATATATATATTTATATATATGGATATCTATACTATATTTTAAAAATCAATTCAAATGATTCAAAATATTTGGCGCTATTTTTATTTAATTTTATTCGCTATTTATCGATATTAAGTGATTAACTATTTTATGTCACATTATATCTCTGGTCTGGCAAATGGATCGCAGCTTTTGTTTGATAGCTTACATTCATTCAAATATAATATTATTGACGTTATTCGCAATATTATCGCAATTATTAACAATTCAAAACTCATTTGTCGTTAGTTTGGTCACAGATCGTGACGCCAGTGGAGTCGTCAGTACTGAGAGTAAGAATCAACTGATCTGGTCATCCATCCAATGGTCTCCATATAACTCATCGACATCTCAGGAAACTAGAAACAAAAGGGATGGTATGTCTTATCAATCCATTTATTATTACTATAAATACACTACTCTTAGTATATCTCATATCATATCATAATTTATATAATAATCCTATATATATATATCATGCCATTTATCATAAATATATGTATACAAGTGTAATCATATTTGATATATAACTTACAATACACTTTATATTAATAATGATCAACATTTTAATTTAACTAATATGTAGTACATTTGAAATATTAAGAAAATGAGAAAATATAATTTTAAATGATGTTTGTTATTATAAAGATTATTAAAGCTTAAAAATTTTGTTATAGAAATATGAAACTAACAAAAGTATATGACTGGAAATTATTAATAAAAAAAGTCATACATCTATTTATTAAACAAATTGTATATAATATTTATACATTAATTTAGAAATATTAGAAAGTGGAAAAAGCTTATGATTTTATGTTTCAAATGTATTGCTTTTAAAAACAACATTAATGAATAAAAATATTAATAATTGTATGTAAAAAACGTTTGTGACATATAATAATAATAATATAAAGAGATGTTTTATTTTAAAAAATAAATTAGAAATGATAAAATATTGTAATGCTAAAAGAAATGCTAAAACCATATTTTAATTTTAAATTTAAATTTATTTTTAGCTTTTATATATATTACAAAATATCTTTTTATAATATCTTAAAAAATAATTTTTATATTTTTTTTGTACCAATTCTTTTATATTTGTTAATAAATTTTCATTAAAAATTACTTTGTAAGTTAAGATTTATAATTGATTAAATTTGAAAACAATTTATCATAATTTATTAAATAAAAACAAAACTATTAGATATATTTAATATATATTTAAATTATATATTTTAAATCTATATTTTATACAGTATAAATAAATAAATGCAATATATCGTGTTAAAATAATATATATCAAATTTATAATATTGATCGATAAATATTTTATAAATAAATCGAAAACAAATGTGAATTATTTATAGAGTTTATTACATTTATAGACAATTGTAAGGTATCTTAAATTTTAATAAATGCTTAAGCCTTACATGCTTTACATTAACTTTAAAGAAATTTAAAACATAATTTTAAAAGACTTTGTTATAAATTTATTTTAAAAATTGTGTTTTTATTTTGATGTTTAACATTATAGAAGCTATGAAAGTATTAATGTTTATAAATCAACAAATAAATAAAATATTATGAATTAAAGCTTATGTTAAAGATATTAAAATTATTTTTGTAGTAATTATTATTAAGAATTTGATAATTACGACTATTATGATTGTAGTTTAATTACATGAGACAAACATAATCACACATTACATAAACATAAAATAGTAGACAATAAATAAAAATATCACATATAAATTGTGGACTACACCAAAATTGTAGTCAATTAGAGATATTTGTTGAAATTGTACCACAAGTTAATTAATAATAAATTATTTAGAAAATCAAATCAGATAATAAAAGTTTGAATTATTAATGATCAAATATACATAATACATAGAATATACAGTATATTATTACAAGTATAACAATTTTATTTATATGATTTACGTCAAGACATTAATTTCAGTTTTAAACTAAAAATTAAAATTTATCCGAAATGATATTATAAAATTTTATCAATAATACATAAGAATAATATATAATATTTTAAATTATTTTTTGACAAATTATTATAATTATCACTTTTAATCTTTGAAAATCTCAATTTTTTTTCTTAATAATATGTTTTGTGAAGCAATTTATTATTAATTAAATTTTTGGTTAAAAACTATTACAATTGACACAAATAAACGTTTGTAACTGAAGATGTGATATGCATTATAGTATTTACTATTTTTTTTATTAATTTTGTCAAATTATAAATTATAATATAATTAAATTTATAAGTCCTTTGCTACCTTACAAATAATAAAATTGTTTACAATTAAATCATTTAGATTATACAGATAAATTAATTCTTTAAAAGTCATGGTTTTCAATATATAATACAATAATATTTTGTAAATTATACTGAATTTTTATAATGAATTAAATTTTATTTTTTACTTATATATATCAATTTATTAATATACATTAAAACGAGTTAATTAAATTAAAAAATTAAAAAGTTTTTTAAAATTTAAAGATACATAAAAATAATAAAATACACAGTATTAGTATTACATAGAAATAAAATTTTTATTAATTATACATGGTCGATACTTATATTATAAATAAAAATAAACTATTTTTATATGTATATTATGTTAAAACAATGATATACAGAATATCAAAGATAAATTAGCAAAAACAAACAATTGAAATATTTTATATTATAATTTAATTTAATTAAATAATTAATGTCATAATTTTTGTTTGGTTTACATGAAAAGTATTTTGTAATTAACAAAAGCTGAATAATCAATATATACCAGAGATTGCATTAATAAGATTGAAGTGTTTAGTGGCACTGATAGACATTATGAAAGGTTTAATTCATGCCATTTATCAGATAAAGAAAAACGTTTAAAAACAATAGATTAAGCAAAAGATTTTTATAGATAAAGTAAAAATAAGTTTTACATTAAAGCAAAAATCATTTATTAGATTTAAATACTTTACTATTTATTTACAGTATTTTATCAAATTGTTATAACTCTTCATTATATATAATATTATTATATATAACGATAACAACCAGAGAATGAGATATACATATAAAGTGAATGAATTGTTTTCACACATTAATGTATTGGCTATACTGTAAAGTAGAGGTTTTTTGGACAGTATTTTTGGAACCGAATCGTATCTGAGCAAAAAAACCGAAACCAAACCGAAAAACATACATAAATAACTAATATATAAATATAATTTTATAATTATAAATTTTTAATTAAGTAAAATAATAAAATTATAATTACTAAATAAATAAAATAAATAATTATTTAATAAATTATATTAAAATTAATAATAGTTAATTAAAAAAATATTTAAAGTATTTAAATCATCTATCATAAAAATATTAATGACAAGATTTATATAAATATTTTTATATGTTATTATTTTAAACTTAAAACGGTTGAAACCATTGAAACCATTTTCAATCTAAAACTGTATTTAAAACCGAAAGCTTAACATAGAAATCGAAACCAAACCACAAAAACCGTGAAAAATTGTTTCAGTTTTATGAAACCGAATCGTTTCTGTTGTTTCGTCTATTGTATAGTAGTATAGCTTAATGTTGAAATTTATTGATTAAAACAAGTTATCTATCTGTAAGCAATTTATATAAAATTTTATAATAAATTACTTGATATTGTAAACATCCATTTTATAAATTAAAACATCAAAAACACTAAAAATTAATTATAATTTATAGCTGAAAGAGTGTATATTGAAAGCAAATTGATGCTGAAAATATTGAAAATTTTAAACCAAAAATATAATATACATTTATTTTAATATACAGTACCGTATAATATAACATTATATTTTTAAATAATATAGTTTAAAAAATCAAATTGTTATATCTTTAATTTTTAATTGTATTCAATTACTGTATATCATAGTTTATGAAATATATAAAATCCTGTATATAAAAATTATATATATATATGAAAATAATTAATCTGTTTATGTTTTCAAAGTACAATATTATGATATACAAACATTAACTAATTGTAATCTGTGATGAATATTTGAATAACATAACAATGTTATTTAGATATACTGTATATTATAATTTACGTAATAATTGATAATAAATGTGTTTAAATATTAGATTTACTGAGATATTAACTATTGCTTAAGTTTCTTATTGATTAATTAAATTTCATTGAAAATACACAATTATTTTTATCTTTACTCATCACTGTCTTTAATAACTGTATTAATTTTAGAAATGAAAATACAATAATATAGAGAAATTTGAAACTAAAATTGACTCTTTAGGCAAATTTGTGTTTCTTATTCTTGATTTTATTTTTTGTTTGTAAAAGACATTTATCTAAATTATTGCTTATTATTAAAGTCAAACACAAACTGAACATATAGTGAAAACTAAATCCTGAAACATTGCCTCTTAATAATGTTTGATTCATAAAATTAATCAATTAATAGATCATTTATCAATATAAAGAAAATACATAAATTTTTGGATTTATTAATAGATACTAAAAATACTGGTGTTTACATTTCAATAAATGAAATTAATTATTTATATTTATAATTAAATAATTAATTTAATTTGAAATAAAATGCTTTATATTGTTTATAATTTAAAATACATTTTAATTGATAAATGACATAAACTATAATAAAGCATTGATGGGCACAACAGTATCCATTTGAGTGAATGGTTTGTCTATCCTATGATCCGGATATTCATTACTTAGTTATGAATTGTTAGAAAATGGATATAATATATGAGATCTAATAGAGACAACAATAATGAAAATAATAGCCAAAGCGTGCATTTGATTCACTCTATTTTGTCGTTAATTAATATAACGTTCATTTAGTATTACGAATAGACTTTCCTCTAAACTAACAATCCTATCATTACTTGACTGTTATTTTTATTTTTCTCTTTCATTATAGAATATAAACTATAAAAACTAGTAATAAAGAAAAAAGAGATTAAAATAAAGAAATTAAGAATTTATAAAAACATTAACTCGTTATTATGTATTACAAACTATATGAATGTGTAGTCATTAACCACTTTTGGATTACATAAGAAAAATGATGCAATTTTTTACATTTTAGTTTTTCATTATTAATACAAATAGTTACGATTATATATTAAAAATAACATTTTTTATAATACATTTTACTGTATATCACACTTGACTAATAATATAAAAGCCAAGTTATATGATATATAAATTTAATTTAATATAAAATTAATATATTTTATACACTAAAAGTTATATACAATAATAATAAAAATTTTCATTAAACTTCATTAAATTTCTAATTTTTATGATGTATTATTTTTGAG